TACGTTTTCCAAAGGGAATGGGTAGATTTTTACGTCTTGGGGGTCTCTGGGGGGTTTCTTGGGCCGTCTTGAGGGCCTCTGTGGCCGTCTAGAAGCCGTCTTTGGGCCCTCTTGGAGCGCTCTGGGGCAGTCTTGGGGCCCTCTGAGTGCGCTCTTGAGCCACCTTGGAGATATCTTAGGGCGCCTTGGGAGCGTTCGTGAGGTATTTGGACGGTCCAGGGGATGCCCTGAAGGACTCCTTCGGGGTCTCCGCCGGTGCCCCCGGAGACCCTGGAATTAGGTGTGCCCCATCCCTTGTGGGTTTTTCCGTGTCATGTAATAAGGATAAGGAATAGGAGTATGAATATGACAATGACTATATATATATATATATATATATATATATATATATATATATACACTAGAACCACGCGTGCGCTACGCGCGCTTAGGTTCTAGTCACGGCATCATGGCGCCAAAGGATGGCACGGCAAGCAGTGCCGTCGACAGCAGATCTCGTTCCAGAGGGTCCTGACGGCCGACCCTCTTGTAGCCTAGGAAATCTCGTACTGTGCTGCCTCCTTCCTGGCGTAACTCCGTCGCAGTGTTTCATTGCAGGAAGGTTTCGGAACTGCCGGGGCTCTCGCCGCGCCGCTCGGCCGCTCCCTCTCACCGATTTGGGCCCGCTGGCTGGGCCCGGCAGGGGCGCCCAGGCGCCCCTGGGAAGCTCGGGGGCCTTTCTGCAGGGATGCCCCGGCGTTCCCCAGGGCCGCGGCTCCGTCCGAATTGTAAATGAAGCAAATAAGAAGGAAATAGGTAAAGAGAGAGAGAGAGAGAGTGAGAGAGAAAGAGACAGAGAGAGAGACAACACAGGGAACGACTGCTTTTTTCTCTCGGGGGGGCGCGCGGGGGGCTCGCGCTCCCACCTTCATGCCGTGAGCCGACAGCGAAATGCGAACACCGTGAGGTACGGGACGACGTGCTCGCTCCAGATCAGGCCCACGAGCCTGCCCAGGCCGCCCCTCCGCGCCCAGCGCGAGGCCCAGAAGGAGGCGGAGCGCCAGGGCTCCAAGGCCTGCACCATGCTCTCTGGCGCGGAGCCTCGGCCCTCCGGGCGCGGGGCGGGCCCCGGGGACGAGAAGAGCGCGGCGGCGTGGCCGCAGTCCCCCAGCGCCTCGCAGGCGCACGCCAGGGACCGACAGGCGGCCGGAGCGAGCTCGGCCCGCTGCGCCCGGCCCATCTCGTCGAAGTGCTGCAGCGCCCGCCGCCCGTCCCCGGAGGCCACGCAGGCGGCCAGGACGGGCGTGTAGGTCGGGGCGTCGGGCTGCACACCGCTTGCGCGCATGGCCTCGAAGAGGCTCAGCACCTGCCGCCACTGGAGGCCCTTCGCGCACGCCCTGAGGACCGCATTGTACGCAGACGCATCCGGCGAAAGGTCGCTCTGGCCCAGCTCGCGGAAGATCCGCAACGCCGTCTCCCACTGCCGGCAGTTGTCGCAGACGTTCAGGACGGCGACGTACGTCGACAGGCTCGGCGCGACGCCGACACAGCACATCCAATCGATGAGCTTCACGGCCTCTTCCCACTGGGCGCTCTTCTCACATGCGCTTATGGCCGTGTGGCACGCAAAGCCATCGGGCATGATGCCGCTCTGCTGCATCTCCTCCAGCAATCCCAGCACCCGCTGCCACTGCGAGCCTCTCTCGCAGGCGCTCAGCACCACGCGGTAGGTCACCGCATCAGGCTCCACGTCGGCATCCGACATCTCTTCAAATATCTGGAGTGCCTCCTGCCAATTGCCACATTTGCCGCAAGCGTTGATGATTACATTGTAGGTGATCAGGCCAGGCTGATGCGTGCCGTGGCGCCTCATGTCGTTGAACAGCGAGAGGGCCCTCTGCCACTGTTGGCCCATGCTGCAGGCACGAATTACGCAATTGTAGGCGATCTCGTCGGGCTGGAGCCCCTGCTGCAGCATCCGGTCGAAGACTGTGAGGGCTCTCTCCCACTGGCGCCCCTTCGTGCAAGCATGAATTGCCATGGTGTACACCACAACATCAGGCGCCACACCGCTCCCAACCATCTCGTCCAAGAGGTCAACGGTCTGTTGCCACTGCCTACCCTTCGCACAAACATGGACTGCAGTTTTGTACGCGGCTAAATTCGGTATCGCGCCTGCTTCTCGCATTTTTCCTAGAAGGTCCAATGCACGCTGCCAGTCGAGCTTCTTCTCGCAGGACGCCAACAACCGCATGTAGTGGCCACGCCGGCCTTTGCTCGTGCTGCTCGTCTCTGACGGGACCGCCATCGAAACATGTGTTGAATAGGAGCCTCAGGGTGCGCGTTGTGCCACCCAGCAGCGGCAACCTTGGCCCACCAGGATCTCTATCATCACAACGGTGGTATCCCGCTAGGGAGCTCCTAGCCGAAGTGCTAATTACGGACACACACACGCACACACGCGCGCGCACCCACCAACCAAACATCCACACCTACACCAGCAGCAATCCCAACATCACCGCCGCGAACACGACATGACACGCAGAATACACTATTTGGACGCTCTGCGCTGGACCACCACCCATGTCAAAAGTCAATGCGTAGTGACTGCAGGTGCGCACACCATGCACCCTGCTGGCCATCCCGCCGCCTCATTGCATGTGGCCTCAATCGGGGATGGATAAAACCCCCTTTAGTAAAACGTGATTTCGTGAAACGACCTCGGGCCCAAACCTGGCGGGCGCAAGCCTGGAACATGACGGTGGCGGCGCCCTCTCGAGAACCGAAAACGGGGGTCTGTCCGCCCCCGACTCAACGGCGGCCGCGGGAAGGCCGACATCTTGCCCGATGTGTGCTGTCGCGCGAGCTGGTGCAGCTGACGCATCCTGCGCGCGTCGAGCACGCGGCGTGCCCGGAGCACGCGGCGCACTTGGCACACGTGGCGGAAAACAGGCGCGCCTGGGCGTCTCAGGACAACTTCACACGTCGTCGTCGTCTTCGTCGTCGTCCTCCTCCTCCTCCTCTTCTTCTTCCTCCTCCTCCCCCTCCGCCTCTTTCTCCTCCTTCTCCTCTCCTCCTCCTCCTCCTCCTCCTCCTCCTCCTCCTCCTCCTCCACTTCTTCCTCCTCCCCCTCCGCCTCTTTCTCCTCCTCCTCCTCCTCCTCCTCTTCCTCTCCCTGTCGCACCCCGAAGCCAGTCTGAAGGGCGGGCCGGGCGTTTCGCTGAAGATCTCCTTGCCACTGGTAAGCCACAGGCCGAATAGCTGGCAACAGCTTCGCAGATGGAGGGCGGGTCGCTTCCAACATGCGGCTCCCGCCTTAGCGCCGCGCGCACTCGTCTGAAACATTTGCAAGAGTTGAACGGACCGAGGGCGGGCCGTTCTCAAAATGTCGCTCTCGCCCTGGCGCCGCGCACATTCGTTCTCACAATGTGCAAGAGTGTCAAGAGGGCGGGTCGTCTTCAAAATGTGGATCTCGCCTTAGCGCCGCGAGCATTTGTTCTGACCATGTGCAAGAGTTTCACGGCTTGAGGGCGGGTCGTTTTCAAACTGTGGCTCTCGCCTTGGCGCCCCGCATATTCGTTTCAAAGCATTGCAAGAGTTTCACGGATTGAAGGCGGTTCGTTTTCAAACTGTGGCTATCGCCTTGGCGCCGCACACACGTGTTTGAAACATTTGCAGAAATTTCACGGATTGAGGGCGGGTCGTTTTCAAAATGTGGCTCTCGCCTTCGCGCCGCGCACCTTCGTTTTCGAACTTTACAGAAGTTTCACTGATTCTCATGGTTAACGTAATAGAGCGGTTTTTGGAGCGATTCAGGCTTGTCTGGGCGCAACGGTTACGTTGACTCGTGGTGTTGAAGTCCCAGGAATTGTGTTCTGGTGCGATTCAGGATCGCCAAGACTCAACAGTCAGGTTGACTCGCGGCGTTGAACTCATGAAAATGGTCTTTTGGCACGCTTCAGGGTCTTCAAACGGTTGTCTCCCAACGGGGCACTTCCTTCAGTAGAAATGAATTCTTGTATGGGGCCTGTGAGGAGGGAGGTTGGAGGGAGGGTAGATGCCAATCTCGTTGATCAGTCTTGGGCTTACATAGGTCCTCCTCCACCTCTCCTGCCCATCGTCTTCCTCCTGCTCCTCCCCGTCCTCCTCCTCCTCCTCCTCCTCCTCCTCCTCGGCGTGGCGCATCTGATCTGGCACGCGTTGCGTACCTCGCCAGCGCGTCGTACCTGGCGTCCATGCTGGCTGCCAGGGGCTGCCCAACGGAATGGCAGCAGCCGCCCATGCTGAGTCTCGGGTGTGCTGCTTATGCGGTGGGAGTGTGGGTGGCCCCCAGGAGCACCCCACGAGGCAAAGGTGGACCCCCCAAAGGCATTGTGTCGCTCTTCGACACGGGGGCTTACCACACCCTCATGATTTTGATATCCGAGAACGGGCCAAAACACGAGGCGGCAGAACGGGCCACCGCCCATAGTGGCGGCCACGGAAGAGACCAACAACAATAAAAACACTAACAGATCGCAAAGGCCGCGTGGCCTGACGACGCCATTGCCCCTCTGAACCTATCCCTCTCATCGTTGTCGCTGCCCCTGAACGTATCCACCACGTGGTCGTCGACACGGCTGGGGCTGTGTTAGTGGGGAGAGGTACCGATATCATTATTCCCCAGACCTCACCCGAGGTGCGTGACCTAGAATCTCAAGGAGAATCCAGCTGTGGCGACGAGGGGCTCCCAGGAGGCACAGAAAGGCGAAAACGATGGAACAGCAGCGGTATCGGTATCTTTTCCCCCTCTGACCCCTAACGTTTTGCCGTTGACACCGCTGCGATACGCGGATCAAAACCTGACCCAGCCACCTGGGCAGAGGCGAGGACAAGACAGAAACCGCTCTGCGAGATTCACCCGCTGCTGCATGACTCAATAACGCAGTGGACATCTGGCGGAAAAGCATCCACTTCAAGAGACACGTAGCTCGCGTGCTACAGTGTTGGCGCGGCCGCAAGAAACCCTCGCAAGAAACCCAACCCTGAGAACCCGTGTGCGAGGTGCACCTGAGGGCAAATCTGGAGCACCCTGAACGCAGCAGCTCCTGCAACGGCCGCGGGAAGTCGCCGCGCAGCGCGAGGAGCTAAGAAACCCGGGACACCCTGACGAAAAGCATTTGGTTTCTTGATGCGCGCCCGCATTGTACTGTGACCTGCTTCGCGGGAGCCCTCTGCGCAGAGCTGGCGCCGAGAGAGCAGGACCCTCGACGCTGACACGCAGCACTCAGCCGGCCCTCTCTGGACGCCCGAAATGGGTACGGAAGAAATGGGCACCATGCCCAACAACACATGTTGTCCCAAACCATCAGCGGCCGCTGTACGGTCATCGGCGACACGCAAGAGTGACCCTGGGTAGGAGTGACCTTCAGTGCGCGGACTGAGGGGGCGCAAGGTGGCCAAATCCGAGGGCGCAAGCAGCCACTATCGCATCGCGCTCAGCGGTCGGGGGGACCCCAGTGAGCCCGCACCGAAGGTCATTCCGGCGAAGGGTCACTCTTACCCAGACATGCGACGTCCTGATTTTTTCAGGACGGCGCCCCTGGAATTCTAGACCCATTCCCTGGGGCCGGTTTTTCGTCCTGAGTCGTTTTTTGACGGTACCGAGGCCCGGCGAGGGCCCCCAGGGGCCGAAAATAGGGAAAAACCTCCCGTCCTGATTTTTTTACGACGCCATCATGTCTGGGTACGTGTAGTCGAGGTCAGGAGCGCTTGCTCAGCTTCTCGTGGCGGCGGCCCCGGCGCCACGCCGTGTGCCCTGCGAGCGGGCCGCGTGCCTCTCCGCTGCGCGGGGCGGGAGCTGAGTCGGGCGTGTCCCCCTACAGGGGGACTTTCGACGAAAAATAAAAAAGTACTCAAACAATGCCCCCAAATTGCCGAAAAGATATTCAAAAGTACTCCCAAATGGTCAAACAGTGGAGGATTTTTGGGCGGGAGCTGAGTCGGGCGTGTCCCCCTACAGGGGGACTTTCGACGAAAAATAAAAAAGTACTCAAACAATGCCCCCAAATTGCCAAAAAGATATTCAAAAGTACTCCCAAGTGGTCAAACAGTGGAGGATTTTCGACGACAGATAAAGAAGTACTAAAAAAATAGTCCAAAATTGTCAAAACATAGCCCCAAAATAGTCCCCTGACTATTTCTGGACTATTTTTGAATATTCCTCCCGGAGAGGGACAGGCTCGACTTCAGGCTGGAGGCGGGGACAAGTTCGGGACGTTGACGCTTCGGGACTGGGGCGTGGATAGCGCGCCGCGCCGAAGCGTGGTGGGCCAGAAACGGAAGAGCGACACGCTGAGGCGAACGTCCCGACCGTAACCGCTCCGGGGCTCTGGCTCTCTTTGGGGCCGGTCCGTAGATCTAGGTCGGAGAAGAGATTCGAAGCCGAGGCTCGCAGTGGCCAGAAAAGCCGCTTCGCTTCTTGTCTGAACTTCTTGCTGGTAGCACGATGGCCTCTGGGAGCCCCCCGGTGGCGTGCCGACGCGGGCTCCGCCCTCATCGGGCCTGGGGCAGCGCCCACTCCAGACGCGCCCCGCTGTGTTAAGTTGCGAAGATCAGGCTCGATGCGCGGCGCGCCTGGGAGCAAGGCGGCCACGTGCAAGATGGCCCCCCTGGCTTGTGGGCCCCCTCCCCCGTCCAGAGAGGTCGACGCGGAGGCAAGGACGAGGGCGATGGGGGGGCGAGATTCCTCTCGACAGGCAGGAGCTCGAGCACCAACGCACACGCCAGGACCACCACCACCACAGGGCCCCTGGCGGGACAGCCGCCTGATGCCTCCAGGGACCCGCCGGGGGCCAGAGAGGTCAAACATAGCGTCGATCCACGAGCTTCGATTCTCGATCAGCGCCCGCTCAACATTGGCACCGATACTCTTCCCGGGGCCCGCCCCGACCGGCTTCGTGAGCCGCGTCCAGCCGCAGCGGCGAGAGCCTCCACACGCGCGCCCACGAGCCTTCGAAACGCCAACGCCGTCCCCCCCATCCCCGATTCCCCATCCCGCGCGCCAGAGATGGAAGAGGAGGAGGAGGAGGAGGAGGAGGAGGAGGAGGAGGAGGAGGCGGAGGAGGAGACGGAGGAGGAGGAGGAGGAGGAGGAGGAGGCGGAGGAGGAGGAGGAGGAGGCGGAGGAGGCGGAGGAGGAGGAGGAGGAGGAGATTGGGGGGAGCACGAGCTCGAGGGAGCGCAGAGAGGGCTCCAGGAGGCCCTTGGGAGCTCCGAGAGGGCCCCTGCGGAGGCCAGCGCGTGGCCCGCGTGTGGCCCGCACGGGCCGGCTCCATCTTCGGTGCAACCGTCCAGCGCGAGCTCTGAGAGTGTCTCTTCTGTCCGTCTCGGGGGTCCGTTCGTGCCGCCCGAGACCACGGCCTGACGGGTGATCCAGCCCTCCTCGCTTCAAACTGCTCTTGCGCTTTCCTGCTGCGCGCAGCTCGGCTGGGAATGCGGTCCTGGAGAGGCTGGCGGGCATGCATGAGGCATCAATCAATGT